CTAGTTGGTTGGGGGTCTCCCTCTGTCTGACCAACTAAAAAGACCCTGCGCCCTGTTATTAATGTAGCAAACCTACAAGGAGGAATAAGCATGTGTGTTAGTTATATAAACGTTCCTGAGAGAGAGAGAGAGAGAGAAAGAGAAAAAGAAAGAGAAAGAGAGGAAAAACCAGGCACCAGTTTTTGGGGAGGGGGTAGAAAAGGGATGGCCTAAAACATTGCTGCCAATGTAAATAAAACGTGAAAAAAAGCCCAGAACTTTCATTGGTTCCCTTTCCCTATAACAGGATGTAATATATTCCAGACCTTAATGCAATGTAGGTGGTGGAGATGGGTGGGAGTGAGCTGAAGTACTCACCATATTGACTTCTGACACCATGTCTATGCTGGCTATGTCTATGTTCATGCCAACCGCCACAGGAGGACCTGGAACATAAGACAGTCTGCACTGTGATCTTTAACCATTTAACTCATTACAGGGAAGATTAGCTCAGACTCAAGAAGGGGTGGGGCACAAGGACTTATCAGTCTTAGTTAGCCTCTTCCAGGGCCTCTCCCTCTCCCTCTCCCTCTCTCTCTCTCTCTCTCAGGAACGTTTATATAACTAACACACATGCTTATTCCTCCTTGTAGGTTTGCTACATTAATAACAGGGCGCAGGGTCTTTTTAGTTGGTCAGACAGAGGGAGACCCCCAACCAACTAGAGGAAATGAGCAGGACTTTAAAGCAAGTAGGGCTTTGATTCCCGCTTGCCGCGTGGACTCATCCTGGTGAACGGAGTCTAGCAAAGTGCAAAGTCAACCCATCCTAAATTCCAAACTATTAGCTTCCTTGAATGTTCTCTCGTTGTGTATTCCAAAGGACTCTTAATTTAAATTTAGGTTTCAAACATTGCAGACACATGCACATGGAAAGATTTCACTAGGAGCAAATCCCCTGGGTGGTTTGAATGACATGACCATTCAATTTGCAGGATATTTTCAATTTAAAATACTCATAAAATACCACAGGAATAGATACGGTAGCTTGATGAATAAGTACTGGATAAACTTAGGATATTAGCATCTCAATTAAAGTTTAAATTACAGAAAGCAATGTACACCGGCTACCAACACATATTCCTACAATGAGGCCAATCACACTCACACACACAGACACAGACATACACACACAATAGTCATTGCACGTTAAAGAAAATTGGAGACTTAACTTGGAGAAAGCTTCAGAAATGACAATTCCCGTGCATTAGAGAGAGAGGCAGCTCCCTGACAATGTTTGAAACAGGCACTCACAACCCAGAGCATGGCAGCTTAGGCGTGCAGCAAGATTCTTCCACAAAAGCAATCGAATTACCTCCAAAATCTGGCCTCAGTCGAATGTCGTAGCCTTTCAGCAATCTATCCACAGTTTCTTTTACTAGGGACATATTGCTAGGATCATTAGCACTAAAGAGAGACAGAGAAAAAACATATAAGCTCAGAGACATTTTCTGTCTTCTCTCTCTCTCCTCCTCCTCAAAATTCATTTTGCACCTTCAGTTTAACGGAAGCATACAATACATTTCAAAGTGAAGGACTTGGGGGGGGGGTAACATAGAAGAGAACCTTTAATCACTTACCTCTGTGCACAAACCACTGTTATTATAAAGGGCAACGACCAAATCCCAAAGCAACCTTTTTTCCGGACTCTCAGCATCCCTTTAGCTTTTGATAGGATTTTAGGGTTTCAGTAGAAGAGAAGAAGAGATCCAACTTATTCTAGCCAGTGCAGTAATTCTAATGTGGAACGCATGCGCACGGCGGCGTACCACAACATCAAAAGGAGCAGTGGTTGATGCTGGAGATGGAGCAAATTTTCTTGCCAAAAGAGAAAGAGAAAAGGAAGGAAGGAAGGAAGGAAGGAAGGAAGGAAGGAAGGAAGGGGAAACAAAGGAATAAAAAAAATTAAAGGGGAAGAAAGAAATGCATCATTTAAAAGAGAGTAAGGCACAAGAGGCTTAGCAGCATTTTGTTCTTCTGAGTTTTACAATGTATGGGCTGCACTATAGCAACCGGAGAAGTTTCAAGAGTTGCAGTACTTTTGCAAGCTAATTTAAAAGAGAGAAGCGCAACATCGGATTAGGAATTAAGAGAGAAAGAGTTTAAAAAGGAATCTAAGGCGTACACGTGTGGTGGGGGTGGTGATTGGGGTTGGGGGTGGGGGTGGGAGCTAGACTTTTTGTTCCTTGAGAATAGCAAATGGTGTGTGAAACCAGGGAGGGAGGGGGTCCGAGTTTGCAGTCGGTGGCTAGAAAGGACTCAGCCTATAGCATTTGGGGGAGGGGGCAATGCCAGATGATGACGAGTTTCTTGGAAGGGGCTACATGGCTGTTTGCTCTTCGGGGGAGGGAGGTTAAAAAAGAAAGGCGCGGGGGGGGGCACAGAAATGAAAGACTGGGGATCGTGAGTGGCGTTAGGCATACTGCGATCTTAAAGGTTCTTTACATCAGAGTAAAAAAAAGTACAAAAGTCAGATCCTGCCCAGCTTTTACATCAAGCAAAGGGTCTGGTTTCAAAGGCCATCTCCCGCTCTCGCTTTCATAGTGCTTCCTCATTACAGATCAAGGATGGGCAAGCGGGGAGGGAGATCGTCCCTAAATACACCACCCTACCTGGGGGCGATAAAAAGGGATGGGAAGAGAAGATGGGGTGGTGTGGGGCAGGACAAGGAGGGGAAGTTATCCTCCCGGTGATCATGCCGCCGCCGCACATTTTCTGCTTACAGTCTCCTTACCTTCTCGGACAGTAAAGCCGCAGAAATGCAATATTCGGGGCTCTGAAATCAGCGCTTCGGAAGAAAACGGAGAGGAGCCGTAAACTGATCTGGGGATGCTTTGAATGACATTTAAATCCCCAGTAGCAGAGCGAGACCCGAAACGCTTCCTTGCAAATATGCCTGCTGCCGTTGCTGATGCTGCCAGCTCCTTCCCTCCACCGCCACTTCCTCCTCCTCCTCCTCTTCCTCCTCCACCTCCTCCTTCTTCTCCTCGTCCTGCAAAATCCCACTTGGAACGGCCGGGAATCTGTGCTGCTTCACTGAACGGGTACGGGGCCGGAGTGCTCTCGCCTTGCCTGGGATGGGCACGGGAAAAGGGGGAGTGGGGGGGAGAGAATTAAGCGGAAAACACTCGGATTCTTCAATTACGTCTCGAAACACTTAATTTGCTGCAGGAGAGAGTAAGAAACGGGCGGGGGAGCGTGGCACGCCGCGCGAGGCGGAGGGGCATCGGCGCGCGCAAGGAAGATGTGAACTGTGCGCGGAGAGGAGACGCCGAAAGCCTCCACGGCTCCTCAATCAACGTTTAGTCATTCCTCGCACATAGACCGTGACAGCTACCCAGCCCCCACCGCCCGCTTGTCGGTCGCCTCGGCTCGCCTTCGAGAGGGCTGGAAGCAGCTCCCCGCAGTCGGCCAATCCCACCCTTCTCCCACTTGCGTCGCTCTCGCCCTCGCCGTAACCCACAGGCGCGCCATCAAAAGCCGGCGCAAAAGAAAGAGGCCCTTCCTTCCCACAGAAACCGCATCTCGGCTCCCCGCGCAACACCGAGAACTGGGCGCCTAGATTAACCCTCCGCCCCCGCCGCCTCAGTTTGGCGGCAGCGGTAGCCGGGCTCTTTGACAGTATATATGTTCCGCAGAGGCCACCGGAACAGAAGCTCCGAGAGCTAGCCTGGGGGTTGGAGGGGGGGGCGGCGGCGGCCTGCACAGCTCGGCGTTTTATTTGACGCGGAGCCGCCAACCGTTATCAGGAGCCACAAGCCAAGAAGCCTCCTCAGGGCGCGCCCCTCCTTCCTTCTCATCGTTAGCGGGTCTTTAGCGAAGAGCGAGCCTCGAGCCCCGAAGTGCGGGTGTGAGAGAAAGAGGAGGGGGTGGAAATATAAAATGTCGGGGACAATAATTTTTTCCTGGTCGTGAGAGACGAAAGGTGCTGTGTTACTGGCTAGGCTTCCCACACGTGTACATAACATGGGACAATTATGTCTCTGCCACCTTTTGTTGTTCTGTGCCATCTTTATCTGTCCCAGTTTTCAAGGAGTGTTTTCCTTTCTGATTAAAGAAATGTTACCATGGATACAAACTGACATGCTTTGTCAACTCTTCTATCGTGGATGTGGATAGGTGACTCCCAGGGATTGGGCTCGGCTCAGCTCTTATAGGGCATTTTGAGAGGATGAGGGCATACCCTGTTTTCTCCAGCCTGCATTGCCCTGCAGGAACATCGGAGGTTGGGCAGTGAGAGAAGCTGGTTCTTTCGCACTAGGCTCTCCCTCCTACCTCTCAGATCTGAGCCAATTCCTATTTTCGAGACCTGGGTCGCACAAGACACTAGCTCACCGGCAATTGCTATATAAGGCTACATAAGGAAATGGGAGAGCAACCTTGTAGTTTCATAGCTCAGCCCTCTTACATCTGTTCTTAAGTTACCTTTGAACACAGGTTTAATAATGTTCTTTGTGAGCACTAAAACAATCTGTAAAAGGAGACTCATGGTAGCTGATACCAGCTATTAGTTGGGCTCCCCTTGTTGTATGAACACTTGCACAAATGAAAATGAATTTTAATAGATGGTGAAACTCACTGCTTTAGCCTTCTGTCAAAACGCACCTCATCTTTATCTCACATTAAGAGTAACGGTGGATGTTTTACCACCATGTAGTGTGGTTTCATGGGAGGAGATGGAGGCAAAACAGTCCCTATCTCTTAAGATGTCTTGTTCACTAGGGTGGGAATCACCTATGGAAGCAGCACATTTTATGCTGCTATAGTTTCCAGGCTGATAGCTCATTCTCTCAGCTTTGAGGAAGAGCCAAACTGACGTAGTTTAAATTGGGCTGGCAACAGCAGCTCACAACAGAAAAGAGATAATGTACAGTGGGGGCGAGGAAAAGGACACTGAGCAAGAAATACAGTATCCACAGTATCAGTATAGAAAGAGTCCCCTATCAGGAGGCAGCACGTGGCTGAGGAAGTATATGTCAAGAGGGGTGAATAACATTTGAAATTGCTGCTCCTAATTTGATCCTCAGCCCTTTCTCTGATGGTGCAAGCATCTGGCTCTTGGAGTCAGTTTATCTGGGGAATTGACCCAGTTACACAAGTAATGACAGCTCATCTGGCAGCTGAGCTCTGGAGTCCATGGCGTCTGTAATGAGCAATAAAGCAGTAAAAAGTCTCCATTGAGCTGAACTTGATTCCTGGTGATTTCATGGATTCATACATCAGGCCTCTTGTCAACTATAGAAAACTATTTTTTTAAACTTCCTAGATTGGTAATTTCTCATCCAAATAATAATGTGGTAGGGCCCCTTTTCAAATTTCAAGGACATGAAGAAATTTGCAGGATATGTTTCTGCTCTAATTAGATATAAGTAGTAAAAAGTCTTGAATTACTGCCAATGGTAGCATCCTCATTGTATATAGACCTGGTAAACTGATACTGGTGGGGTGGAGGAATGAATGAAATGACAAACATGGCAACAAAACAGAAACATGTCCTTAACTTCTTCCCTGAATTAAGCAATTTCTCAACCTTTTTTGAAGCTTGAAAATAAGTTAGTATCAAAAACAGAACTGAGGAAATGATAGTTATTAATACATAGGACACATGCTAGGACAGGGGGTGTCGTACTTGCAGCCCACGGGCCGGATGCGTCACACAATGACCACACCCACTCCTGGTGGGTGATGGGGAAAAAGTCACGATACTCACGTGATGACAACATGATGCCGTGAGTTTGACACCTCTGTGCTAGGAGGAAATGGCTATAGAGCAGGGGGTTAATTATCCAAACACTCTCCACACATAGTTCTGATCATACACATCTCAATACTGACTATCTGAACTCATCCCCAATATAATGTATGAAAAAGCAAAACAAAATAATAAAGTCTATCCTGATAAACTTTAGATAGAATAGAAGAACTTATAATAATCACAATCTCATACGTGGATGGAACCAAATGAGACCAATATAATGGGGCCAAAGGAAAGTATGAGTGTTGCCAGGTGTAATTGTTTTGCAATAAAGCACAAGTGAAAAATCTACTTTTAGTCCAGTTAAATTTATTGTTTCCCCATGGAACTAGCTTCTATTCAAGGTCTTTCCTCTCTTGGAACCAACCATGTCACAAATGCCTCAGTAAACCTTTTAAGTGCCATGTCCTCATGAGGCTACATTCATCTTATCTTCAGTCCATTACTAGCTATTCCAGTGTCAAAACAGGGGTTTTCCCTTATTCCAAAACAGCATTGAAATCTATCCATGGACTCTGGTCCATTGTGTGTCGGGGGAGTTAGGATTAGGGTTAGGGTAGGGGGCAATGGTAGAATCTAGGCTCCCTGTCTCTACCTGAAAATCTCTAAACTGACAGAGTTGGGGAGAGAGTGCACAAGAGTCTCTGCTGATTTATCATGAACCTCTTCTATGGACAGTCAGCTATTATTTGAATTCCCTTTGAACAGTGGTTTAACATTATTCTAGAAAGACAGATAAGCCAATGTTTAGAAACTAAACAAAAGCTGGGAGGCATAGGAAGAACAATGCACTGGGAGAGAGGTATGTTCTACCATACAATGTATCTTCCATATGTGTCTGTTGTTAATCACATTTTAATAGTTGAGCCCTGAGCAAAGGAGAGCAGTCCTGTGGAGTTTTCAAAACTGCAAAGTCTCTTACCTCAATGATCATACCATATACGGCAGATCTGTAGGTTAGTGAACCTGGTAGGATAAAGAGTTAAATTTGCTGCTGCCTAGAAGCATCAGAATTTGAGGTATGAGGGTTGGGTTTCCAGTTTTCTGGCATTATTACTTTTATTAGGGGAGGGTACAAAGAAATTTGTGGGTCCTAGAACTATATTTTCTTCTTGTAACTATGAGCAATACATTTGATAAATAATCATTTCCTCTTCTGATATGTTACTAGCAAGGAAATTAAGCAAAGCCTATCCCATTGAACAATGAACATCTCCTCAAAAACAACTTCATGTTGTAGAATGAGAGTTACATAAGAGACAGAACCTTGGCCAGAAAAAGATCTCTCTCACAAAATCTCTTTAAACTTGACACAGAGCTGACTTTGTACTTTGGGACTAGTGTGAGAAGTTACTTGGCTTTTTATCATCTGTCCAAAGCCAACATAATAAGTGCCAAGAGTTAATACGTAGTTTGGGGAGCAAAGTTATTGTGTTTTTGTTTTCTTTTTCCTGACTTCCATTTGCTTCGCATGTCCTCAAGGCAACTGTGGAATGAGAATACTTGTCAGGAGTGAATCAGCCTCTACCTCAGCTTTTTAGAAGATTGATAGGATGGTTGGAAGGAGTACAAACTTTATTTTCTGGTTACCATTTAGAAAAGGGAGTCCCTCTGGTTTTTCTGAACCTGCTCCAAGCTGGAATATTATACATTTTCCACTTGAATTGCCACCTTAAGGACAGCAAAGATAGAACAAGTTGGATCTACGCCCATCTCAGCATAATGCTTGGCTGACAGAGAGATTAGTTATTCAGGTTACTCCTGTTTGCCAAATTTGCTTGTAGCAGAATTAGGAAGGTTTATGCGAATGTATAGGCATACTTTATACTTTTATTTTAATGTTACCTAGATACCTTATATTAAGAGCCACTTATTCTTGGAGGGAGGGAAGCTAAAATAGGAAGAGAGAAACAAATCAAAGAGGGCAAGGCAGTCTCTGTGTATTGTATTTGTTTAATTATTCATGACTAATTACAAAATGCAATATTTTACCCTACCCTGTTTTAATCACCCCTGTTCTTTAGATTTCCTATCCCAATCAAAATTAAGATCCTCATTAGTGATTTATGGTATTTCCTAGCATCACTCACTCACTATTGCAGGGGTATCAAACTTGTGTTGTCATGTTATCACGTGAGGTATCACAATTTTTCCCCCTTTGCTAAACCGGGAATGGGAGTGGGCAGCACATAATGCATTCGGCCCACAGGCCGTGAGTTTGACATCTCTGCACTATTGTGTTGAAATAATAGTGAGGACAGGTTTTGTATTGTCTTGATGATGTCTAGATAACCCTAGAA